ATGAGCTTTTTTATTGAGCATTGCTGAAGAAAGAGATGTGGTCTTAAAGCTTTCCATCTACCACTTGGGACAGATGCAAGGATGCCAAATCTCAAGGGAAGAACAATTTATACTGAATGAGAAAAGGGGCTTTGCTTTTTAAACACAAATTGTTGTGATCTGAAGGGCACTGTCTGAAAGGGCAGTGGAAGCGGATTCAACAGGAACCTTCAAAAAGTGGAAATTAGATAAATACTTGGAAAGGAAGAGTAATGTAGAGCAGGTAGGTGTAATTAGGAACTAATTGGGTAGCAGCTAAAGAACCAGTGCAGGTATGATAGGCACCTTCTGTACTGGATCATTTTATGAAGCAATTATCGAGGAATAGACCCTGGGGTCTTCCCAGTCTGCACAGTCAATACTGATCTTGTTTTGCACTCTGTGTGTGTCCTTGATGGACTGGAACATGAGCTGCTGACGGGAGCAGGGAATACCCTTTGCTGGTAATCTCTCCCAGCTGATAAGCTTTGTTTCAAATATAGCCACGGGAGTCAGGATAGCTAGTGGAATGCACTGAGTCACTGGCTAATGTTACCAAGATAAATTTGCCCACACCTCACAGTCCCAAGCGGAAAGGCAAGGTTCCTTTCTAAAATTGATCAGCAAGAATCCAAGGGTTTGACTGTTGTCAGGGTTTCCAGTGCTTTCACTCAACTATCACGTAGCAGAGACTTTCAGCTGTCCCTGCTCTAATCTCTGGAGTGCCTTCCACTATGAGACTGCTCTGCCACACCTTTTAAAATCCTCCTTGAACATGCCCAGCTCCTTGACCATGTAAAATTCCACCTTCTCTTCTTACATTGTTACTCCTCTTCTGTGGCATTTATGATCCATGCCTTGTTGCTCAGAGAATGAGGCCAAAAAATCCTACATTTCTGCAGTGATTTTCATGTTCTCGAGACTTTTTTTAATTCAATCGTAGGACATGGGAATCATTGGTTGGGTCAGCATTTATTGCCTGTCCATAGTTGTCCTTGAGAAGGTGGTGCTGAGCTGCCCTCTTCAACCTCTGCAGTCTGTGTGCTGTAGGTTGATCCACAGTGCCATCAGGAAGGGAACGCCAGGATCTTAACCCAGTGACAGTGATATATTTCCAAGTCAGGATGGTGAGTAACTTAGAGGGGAACTTGCGGGTGGGGGGTATTCCCATGTATCTGCTCCTCTTATCTTTCTACATGGAAGTGGTCACAGGTTTAGAAGGTGCTGTCTAAGAATCTCCAGTAAATTCCTGTGGTGCATCTCGTAGATGTTGCACACTACTACTGAGCATTGGTGGTAGAGGGAGTGGGAGTGGATGCGGATGTGGTGCCAATCAAGTGGGGACTGCTTTGTCCTGGGTAGTGTCAAGCTTCTTGAGTGTTGCTGAAGCTGCCCCCATCCAGGCAAATGGGGAGTATTCCATCACACTCCTGACTTGTGCCTTGTCGATGGTGGGACAGGCTTTGGGGAGTCAGGAGGTGAGTTACTCGCCGCAGTATTCCCAGCCCCTGACCTGCTCTTGTAGCCACTGTGTTTCTGTGACAAGTCCAGTTGAGTTTCTGATCAATGATAACCTCCAGGATGTTGATAGTGGGGATTCAGTTATGGTAACGCCATTGAATGTCAAAGGGCAGTAATTAGATTGTCTCTTACTGGAGATGATCATAGCTTGGCATTTGTGATGTGCAAATGTTACTTGCCACTTGTCAGCCCAAACCTGGATATTGTCCAGATGTTGTTGCATTTGAACATGGACTGCTTCAGTATCTGAGGAGTCACAAATGGTGTTAAACGTTGTGCAATCATGAGCGAGCACCCCTACTTCTGACCTTATTATGGAGGGAAGGTCATTGATGAAGCAGCTGAAGATGGATGGGCATAGGACACTACCCTGAGGAACTCCTGCAGAGATGTCCTGGAGCTAAGATGACTGACCTTCAACAACGACAACCATCTTTCTACGTGCCAGGTATGACTCCAACCAACAGAGAATTTGTCCCAATACCCACTGATTCCAGTTTTGCTCAGGCTTAGTGATGCCACACTCGGTCAAATGCAGCCTTGATATCAAGGGTTGTCACTCTCACCTCACCTCTGGAATTCAACTCTTTTGTCCATGTTTGAACCGACGCTGTAATGAGATCAGGAGCTGAGTTGCCCTGGTGAATCCAAACTGGGCGTCACTGAGCAGATGCTGCTTGATAGCACTGTTGATGACACTTTCCATCACTTTACTAATGATCAAGAGAGTAGACTGATGGGCAGTAATTGGCTGGGTTGGATTTGTCCTGCTTTTTGTGCACAGGATGTGTTGGGCAATTTTCCACATTGTTGGGTAGATGTCAGTGTTGTAACTGTACTGGAAGAGCTTGGCTAGGGGACCAGCAAGTTCTGGAGCTCAAGTCTTCAGTACTATTGCCAGGATGTTGTCAGGACCCATAGCTTTTGCAGTATCCACTGTCTCCAACCATTTCTTGATATCAAATGGAGTGAATTAAATTGGCTGAAGACTGGTATCTGTAATGCTGGGGACCACTGGAGGAGGCCGCAACAGATCATCTGCTCAGCATTTATGGCTGAAAACTGTTGTAAATCCTTCAGCCTTATCTTTTGCCCTGATGAGCTAGGCTCCACCATCATTAAGGATGGGGATATTTATGGAGCCTCCTCCTCCAGTGAGTTGTTTAATTGTCCACCACCATTTCCTACTAGATGTGGCAGGACTGCAGAGCTTAGATCTGATCCGTTGGCTGTGGGATCACCTAGCTCTGTCTATCACTTGCTGCTTTTGCTGTTTGGCATGCAAGTAGTCCTGTTTGGTGGACTCACCAGGCTGACACATCATTTTTAGGTGTGCTTGTTGCTGCTCCTGGCATGCCTCCTGCACTCTCCATTGAACCAACTTAATCCCCTGGCTTGTGGTATTGGCTGAGTGGGGGATATGCCGGGCTATGAGGTTACAGAATGTGCTGGAGTACAATTCTGCTGCTATTGATGGCCCACAGCGCCTCATTGATGTCCAGTCTTGAGTTGCTGGATTTGTTCGAAGTCTGTCCTATTTAGCATGGTGATAGTGCCACACAATATGATAGAGGGTATTCTCAACATGAAGGTGGGAATTTGTCTCCACGAGGACTGTGCAGTGGTCACTCTTATCAATACAGTTGTGGACAGATGCATTTGCAGTTGGCAGATTGGTAACGATGAGGTCAAGTATGTTTTTCCCTCTTGTTGGTTCCCTCATCATATTGCAGACCCAGTCCAGCAGCTATGTCCTTTAGGACCTGACCAGCTCGATCAGTAATGCTGCTGTCGAGCTACTGTTGGTGGTAGACATTCAAATCCCTCATCTAGAGTACAATTTGCACCCTTGCCAACCTCAGTGCTTCTTCCAAGTGTTGTTCAACATGGAACAGTACTGATTCATTGGTGGAGGCTGGTAATCAGCAGGAAGGTTCCTTGCCCATGTTCAACCTGAAGCCATGAGACTTGACGGGGTCCAGAGTCAATGTTGACATTTCCCAGGGTAACTCCCTCCCACTGTATACCACTGTGCTGCCATCTCTGCTGGGTCTGTCCTGCCGTTGGATATATCCAGGGATGGTCGCATTGCCTGTAAGGTGTGATTCTGTAATTACGACTGTGTCAGGCTGTTGCTTGACTAGTCTGTGAGACAACTCTCCCAATTTTGGCACTAGCCTCCAGATATTAGTAAGGAGGACTTTGCAGAATCGACAGGGCTGTTTCTGCCATTGTCTTTTCTGGTGTCTAGATCAATGCCAAGTGGTCCATTCAGTTTCATCTCTTTGTTGAGACTTCGTAGCAATTGATACAACTGAGTATCTTGCTAGGCCATTTCAGATTGCAGTTGAGAGTTAACCACATTGCTGTGGGTCTGTAATCACATGTAGGCCAGATGAGATGAGGATGGCAGATTTCCTTCCCTGAAGGACATTAGTGAACCAGATGGGTTTTTCTGACAATGGTTTCATGGCCATTAGTAGATTCTTAATTCCAGATATTCTTTATTGAATTCAAATTCCACCCTCTGCTGTGGCGGAATTTGAACCTTGGTCCCAGTATTGTAAAACCCTTCTATTAAGAAGGGTTGTAATGTAGAGAATATGCAGCTACCTCCCACAAACAGCATTGTGATAACAAACATATAATTAAGCAATGATGACTTTGAGGTAAATAGCAAAGCCCAGCTTACTCTCTCAGTCATAAATTATACCATAGATGCTAAGAAGGCTAATTCAAGAGTAAAAGTTACATAGACTAGGCTTGTATTCCCTTGTGATTACAGAGGATGAAAGTATAATCTAATTGAGGTGTTTAAGATGATTAAAAGATTCAATAGGATATCCTCTGCTAAGGAGAGTTCATAATTATGAAGCAAAAATGTAAAATCTGAGCTAGGCCATTTAAGGGTGATGTCAGGATGCACCTCTTCACACACAGGGCATTGGAAATCTGGAACTGTAATCTCAAAAAAAGCTGAAATAATACATCAAAACAAAGAGGAGGGGATTTTTAGGAGCAAATTACTGCAGATGCTGGAACCTGTACTGAAAACAACAAATGCTGGAGATCGCTACAGGCCAGACAGCATCCATGGAGAGAGAACAAGCTAACATTTCAAGTCTAGATGGCTTTAATCGGAGGTCTGAAGAGTCATCTAGACTCAAAACTTTGGTTTGCTCTCTCTCCATGGATGCTGTCCAACCCGCTGTGATCTCCAGCATTGGTTGTTTCCAGAGAAGTGGATTTTTGTTCGGCAACAGTATTAAAGATTGCAGAATCAAGGCAGGTAAGTGGTATAATCGCTCATTGTCTCAGTGATTGGTGCAGCAGGCTTGAGGGGCTGAACAAAATCCTCTTATCCCCATCTCGCTCTCTCCCACCCTGAATGCACAGCCCCTTCCTGGGCTACAGTCCCCAGGCTGCAGCATCCAGGTAAATTAGTATGAAGTTTCACTTACCATGATCCCAGTCAACAAGCAGACTCCCTTCCCGCAGTAAGTGTTGGGCACCATGTCGCCATAGCCGATGGACAAAAAGGTGATTGAGATGAGCCACATTGCCCCTAGAAAGTTACTGGTGACATCCTGGTTATCATGGTATCTGGTGGCATAGACAAAGAAAGTTAGGACAACCTCAGTTGACCGTACGTCACACAAGAAGATTTTAGTAGCTTCCCATTTACTTTCAAACAATGGGTCAAAAGAAAAAACATGCATTTTCCAGACTGTAAATGAAATAACCAATGAACTAACCTTTGAAGTATTATCACTGTATTAAGGCAACAAACACAGCAGCCAATTTGCACACAGCAAGCTCCCACAAACAATGTGATAATGCTGAGACAACTATCAGTCTCTGGGTCAGGAGATTAAGGCTTCAAGTCCGGTAATGATTTAAATCTACAAACCAGACTGACAGTCTCAGTAAAGCACCGAAGAGGCTCTGACTTTCAGTTCCAATGAAATTACCCTCATTAAAGGTCACTACACAAACTAAGAGTTCACAGGGTAGGGAATAACATTCTAGTGTGGATAGAAGATTGGTTAGCTATCAAAAAGAAACACAGAGTAGGGATCAATGAATCAATTTCAGCTTGGCAAGATGTAGCTGGACGAGTGCCTCGGAATTCAGTGCTGAATGAATATCAATGAGTTGGATGAAGGGATCGAATGTATGCTTGCTAATTTTAGTGATAGTACAAAGGAGAGTAATTTCTAAAAAGGACATGAGTCTACAAAGGGATATAGACAGGTTACGTGAGTAAGCAACAGTCTGGCAGATAAAGTCTAATGTGGAAAAATGTGAATTTTTCCACTTTGCCAGGAAGAATAGAAAAGGAACATGTAATTTAAATGGAAAGAGATTGCGGAGCTCAGTGGTACAGAGGGATCTAAGTGTCCTGGCACATGAATTACAAAAAGTTGGTATGCAGGTACAACAAGTGATTAGCAAAGCACAGGGAATGTTGTCATTTATTGTAAGGGAAATGAAATATACAACTAGCAAACACTGGAAATGCTGGAGAAACTCCAAGGCTGTCAGCATCTGTGGAGAAAAGAAAACTAAGTTAATGTTTCAAATCCAGTATGACTTCTTCAAAACTGAACAGTGACACCCCTCGTTCTACATTCTCTCACATTCCTTCCACATCCTCCCTGTCTAAACCCCTCAGGATCTTATATGTTTCAATCAAGTCTCCTCTGTCTCTTAGAAACTCCAGCAGATACAAGCCTGGATTGTCCAACCTTTCCACGTATTCTAGGTATTAGTCTAGTAAACATTCTCTGAATTGCTTTCAACGCTTAGACATCATTCCTTAAGTAAGTATTCAGTTCACAGTTTTATCAATGCCCTGTAGAACTAAAGTATAACCTCCCTCCTTTTGTATTCAATTCCCCATGCAATAAACAGTAACATTCTGTTAACTAGTCTGATTACTTGCTGTATCCACATACACTGGCCTTTTGCAATTTAGGCACTATGGAATCAAAATCACTCTGCATCTTCGAGTTCTACAATCTCTCGTCATTTGGGTAATATGCTTCTCTCAATCCATCAACCCCACACTGCAATCTACACTTCTCCTCAGAGAACCTTGATCTCAGACCTTCCATTAGCAAATCCGAACACAGCTCCGGCTCATTCAGCCAAATCGTCATGTCAATCTCATAGCATTCAAACCCACACGCAGCCTGAGTAACACAAGAATATTTTAACCACTATTTAACAAAGAGAAAAATGTACGGATACCTCATTTGTTTTGGTGTTGCAAGGTGAGGGGTAAAGATTGGCTGAGGATGCCTAGCAGAACTGCCCCACTCTTCAAATTAGTACCTTTCATTGCCATTTGAGAAAGTGGACAGGGCTTGGTTTAATGTCTTATTGAAATGATAGCATTTCTGACAGTGTGGCATTCCCTCTTTACTGCTTCTTCAAGAGAGCAGTGGTCTCTCAGCACTGACCCTCCAACAGTGCAGAGCTCCCTCAGAACTGACGTTCCGACAGTGCCTGTTCCCTCAGCGCTGACCCTCCGACAGCGCCTGCTCCCTCAGTACTGACCCTCCAACAGTTCAGTGCTCCCTCAGCACTGACCGTCCGACAGTACAGCCCCCCAGAACTGACCCTCTGACAGTTCCTGCTCCCTCAGCACTGACCCTCCAACAGTTCAGTGCTCCCTCAGCACTGACACTCCAACAGTTCGGCACTCCCTCAGCACTGACCCTCCGACAGTAGAGTCCCTCAGCACTGATCCTCCAATAATAAGGAGCTCTCTCAGCACTGACCCTCCAACATTGCGGTGCTCGCTCAGCACTGACCCTCCGACAGAGCAGCACTCTCGACATTACTGACCCTTCAACATTGCAGCGCTCCCTCAGCACTGACACTGTGACAGTGCCCATTCCCTCAGTACTAACCCTCTGATATTGAGGCACTCACTCAGCACTGACCGTCTGACAGTGTGGCGCTCCCTTAGCGCTGACCCTCCAACAATGTGGCGCTCCCTCAGTGTTGACCCTCCGATAGTGCAGCGCTCCCTCAGCACTGACCCTCCAACAGTGCAGCGCTCCCTCAGCACTGACCCTCCAACAGTGCAGCGCTCCCTCAGCACTAACTGTCCGACAGTGCCCGCTCCCTCAGCACTGATCCTCCGACAGTGTGGCGCTCCCTCAGTGCTGACCCTCTGACAGTGCCCATTCCCCCAGTACTGACCTTCCGACATTGAGGCGTTCAGTCAGCACTGACTCTCTGACAGAGCGGCGCTCCCTCAGCACTGGCCCTACGACAGTGCAGCGCTCCCTCAGAACTGACCCTCCAGCAGTGTAGCGCTCGCTCAGAACTAATCCTCCGACAGTGTGGCCCTCCCTCAGCACTGACTCTCCAACAGTGTGGCACTCCGTCAGTGCTGACCCTCCGACAGTGCGGCGCTCCCTCAGTGCTGACCCTCCGACAGTGCGGCACTCCCTCAATGCTGACCCTCCGATAGTGCGTGTTGCCATAGCATTCACCCTCACGACAGTGTGGCGCTCCCTCAGCACTGACCCTCCGACTGTGTGGCGCTCCCTCAGCACTGACCCTCTGACTGTGTGGCGCTCTCTCAGCACTGACCCTCCAACAGCATAGCCTATCTTCGGTGACTCCCTTGCCATTCAGCCCCTCAGGTATGCTCTGCCTTTTAATAAGATCATAGGAGAACCTGCCTCTCTGACAGTGCAGCACTCTTTCAGTGTTATCTTGGAGTTTGTGCTTAAAACTAGGGTGTGAGCTGAGGCCACAACTTTCTGTCAGTCGAGGGTTCTTGAGGTTGTTTTTATCTCTCAAGTAATGGTCAAGATCTCTCATTAGTGACTGTGGATAGTTTTATTGACCACACACGGACTTTAACTGTACCAGTCTATCTTTTTCAGTCTGGCAAGAATAAAACATTGACCAGCTTTGTAAACTTCAATGCAGTATGAAATTGAATAAAGTTGTTTCAGTCTTGAGGCGGCAGAGATTTCAGCCTTAAGCTATGTCTTTGAAACCTGGTTATAGCTGGGATTCATCACAGCAAACTCAATTAACAGAATGAGTGTTAGAGATGGGATAGTCCTGGTGCTGCTGGACTGAATTAATTTTTCACTTGACAATTACACTGGGCTCAAAATGGAAAGATAAGATTTCTTTATACAGTGGCCCGCTGGACCTTTCAGAAGCATCCCAAAGCGAATGTATTACAATTAAGCATGGTGAGTATTATTTTGTGGGAACCACTGCAGCCGTTTGTACACAGCAAGCTCCCACATAAATCCATGACCAGGTCATCAGTTTTAATGGTGCTGGTTTGAGGGGCAAGTATTGGCCGAGGACACTTGGGAAAACTCCCAACTCTCATCTGAATCATACAGCTGGATCTTTAATTCAGATGGATGGTTTAATTGGCTTATCTGAAAAGGCAGCTCTCACAGTTGAGCCTTTCCTCAGTCTTGCATTGAGAACCATGTCTTGGGTTATGGGCACAAGTTTTGAAGTGTAGCTTAGATCTCTGGCCAGCTTATATTATTAGTCTTGCATGTTTGGGGTAATGTGCAGACAAGCAATGAATGCCTGGTATCATGACTCGGAGAATCTGGAGGAAAGCAGAGCATCAGCAAAATGTATTGACTTATGCATTCACTTTGCAACAAGGGTTCAGCACTTCAGCCCATAAATTGGAGTCACATACTAACCAGCTCTCGTTTGATTTACAAATCCTTGAAAACTGGGAACATAAGTTGTTCACTTATCCCAGAAACAATACCTCAAAATCAACAGCAAGCATTTGAATATCCCACTGGGAGCTCAGTTAAGACCCACAAATATATTCTTGAGCAGTCATCTCAATTTCAGTCAGGGTGAGTCAACAGCCTATAATGTGGAGCTGACTGGGCAATCTCTCTCAATACTGCTGTGATGTCTACTGCTCTGGGTAACAAAACACAGGAGGAACTAATTGTTTGTATGTTTTACAGAGCTTTAGAAGGGTCCAAGACTCTCTCATTGCATCTGACTCTCTTCATCTGTTTCTCTCTCCTTGTCTGTTTTCCATATCACAATGCAAGTCTTTCCTTCTGTTTGTGTGAGCGTTTCCCCATCCTTCTCTGCGTCTGTCCCTGCCTCTCTCTTCAGCAATTCATCAATACATGTGTACTTCTCCCATTGCCCCACTGTCAGTCTCTCTCCTCACTAGTTTGTCTGTGTGTGTGTACATCTCCCCCTACCCCACTGTGTCAGTCTCTCTCCTCACTCTCACTGTGTCAGTCTCTCTCCTCACTAGTTTGTCTACGTTTGTACACGTTTGTACATCTCCTACTGCCTCACAGTGTCAATCTCTCTTCTCACTGGTTTGTCTGTATGTGTGTGTGTATATTTGTACATTTCCCACTGTCTCACTCTGTCAGTCTCTCTCCTCGCTAGTTTGTCCGTGTCTGTGTGTATGTATATATACATATCCCACTCCCACACTGTGTCTGTCTCTCTCCTCACTCGTTTGTCTATGTGTGTGTACATCTCTCTCCCCACTTAACTTTTTTGTGTGTGTGTGTGTGTGTGTGTGTGTGTGTGTGTGTGTGCATGCGCATGTGCACCTCCACTCCCTCATCATGTCAGTCACTCTATTTTGACTATATGTTTCCCTCTCTATTTCATTCACAGGGAATAGAGGGAATTAGAGATTCGCTTTCACGCAGAGTGGTGGAGATTGGGTGACTGTCTCCCACGGGGTGGGGGGGAGAATGGGTTCTTGCTCTCACGGGGTGTGGGGTGAGAATGGAGGACTCACTCTGGCAGGGTGTGGGGGAGAATGAGGGAGTCGCTCCCATGGGAATAACTGAGGCAATAAATGGGGAATCTGGATAAACACACAGCCGAGAAAGGAATAGAAGGATAGGGTTCTAAATGAGAGATGAAAAGAGAGGTTGGGGGGTGCTTGTGTGGAATAGAAACTCTAGACCAAAGCAGAGTGATGAAATGGCCTGTTGTAAATTCACTTCAGTAAAAATGTGGAATGATATAGTGGGAGAGAAAAACCACATAAAGGAATGATCTAGGAGACCATACTTACAGCCCCTTCAATATTTAATAAATGGGAATGAGGAAACATCTTTATCCAGAGAGTGGGGGGCATTGGCAGACTGGTCTCCTCTCTCTCCCCCATACCAGTGACAGTCAAGGTGAATAGCAGAGATATATTGAAGAGGGGTGTTGGATTAGTGCAGGAGAGAAAGGAAAAGAAGGATGGGGAGAAAGGGACATGGAGGAGTCTGGGGTGTGGGAGAAAGAGGGAGGAGGCTCGTGTGGAGTGGAGTGAGGCACTGAATGGCCTGTTTCTATGCTGTTGATTCTGTGTAAGGTGGGCATCAGGTCCCTTCCTCAGCACTGACTGTCACCCACCTGACCAAGTCCATGCCCACGTCTGTACCCCCACCCTAAACAACAAGCCACCCTTACCTCTCACAGACACGGACGGTCCAGGCGGCGATGATCCACAACGAAATGCTGAAGACGAGGAGCACCGTGCCTGGGCAGATGGTCATGAGAGTCTTCATGACGAAGCGTGTGTTGAAGTTGATTTTGTTCAGCGCCCCGATGCTGCGCGAGGAGGCGTCTGTGAAGAGCTTGCTGTGAAGCAGCATGACCCGGGCAATGAGGTAGAGCCGGAGGAACATGGGAATGGAGAGGATGATGTCCACGTCAGCCCAGGTCTCGGACAGCGTGTAGGAGAATGCCAGGCGGGCTTTCCAGTGGAATATATAACGCCCGGGCACCGGGTGAATGGCACACACCACCATCTCCAAGCTGATAAAGAAAATCCGCTCGTAGGTCATAGCGATCCTCCAATCATCAGCTCCATTATCTATCATGAAAAGCTGCAAGACAGGACAGGACAGAGAGTTCTGTTAAATATGGGGAGAAGTTGTTTTACAGTTATGTTCTGCCAATCACTGGCCTTTTCCCAACTGCATTCTGGTCACCACACTTTATAAAGAATGTTAAGGCTTTGGAGAGGGTACAGAGGAGATTAAATCAGGGATGAGGGACTTTGGATACTGGAAAAGTTGGAATTGTTCTTAAAAAGGCTGCAGGGAGATTTAAAACAGGTTTTCAATTATTACATTGGGTTCTTGTCGAGGACACAGTGAGAAAATGTTTCAGTGAATAACCTAAGGACGTAAATTCAAGATAATTCTCAAAAGAACCAGGAGTGGATGAGAATTTTTTTTTATATAGTGAGTGATGATCTGGAACATAGTGTTTGAAAGGATGATGGAACAGGCTTAATGGTAACTTTCAAAAGGACATTGGATAAATAGGAACATGCCAGCAGGCCTTTCAGCCATTTGAGACTACCATTCTAGATCATAGCTGATAATCTACCTCAACGCCATATCCCCATATCCTTTGCCGTCAGTAACTAGCTGGAGATCTGGCACCACACTGTTAGGTTGAGTGGCCGCCTCCTTTGCTGTACTGTTCTCCAGATAGATGAGTGATGAGAAGAAGCAGGAATGTCTGCTCTGCTGGAAGGTCATCAGTCAGCTGCCAGTTTACTGCTTATTCCTTCCTGCCCTTTGCCCTGTTCAGAATCTCACAGCGAGAGAAGGGAAGGATTGCTGAGCACACTGGCCGAACTGTACTGCATCACTGGTTGGTGATTTACTGTTTTGCAAAATGTGACAAATCAAGGACAAGCCAAGGTCCCAAACTGACATTCTAGTATCCTTACCCATCTCAGGCAACTTCTTTACGGTCAGCTTCCCATAACTCAAGCTGATATGAAAGGTTCCTCACTGGCAGGATCGAAAGGAGGTGATATGAAATGGAAAACGTGCAGTGAAATTAGAATGGCAAGGGGCAGCATGGTGGCTCAGTGGTTAGCACTGCTGCCTTACAGCGCTAGGGACTTGGGTTCAATTCCAACCTCAGGCAATTGTCTGTGTGGGTTTCTGCCGAGTGTTCCAGTTTCCTCTTGAAGTAATTTCACAGGGGCTGCTATCCTGTCAGCAAGTCACCCTTTATTTACATGTGGAGAGTCCTTGACACTGATCTACTTCCTTCAGAGCAAACAGGATGTCTGACTCTCCTGTTTATATCTGTCAACCAGGGCTCCCTGATTGGACCAGCCTAACAGTCCCAATCAGGGAACTCAGATTCTAATGAGGTCCACTTAGCTGACCTTGTTACAATGCAGGGTTACAGGGATAGGCTGGGAGGCTGGGTCTGGATGGGATGCTGTTCAGAGGTTTGGTGCAGACCTGATGGGCTGAATGGCATCTTTCTGCACTGTTGGGATTCTAGAACAGAAATGGTCAAAGAGAGAACCTCAGTCCTGATGAAGGGTCCTGACCCGAAATGTCGACTTTCCTGCTCCTCTGATGCTGCCTGACCTGCTGTTTTCCTCCAGCTCCACACTGTATTAACTCAGTTGTATTGTGCTGTTTACAAGGTTGGAACATCCTGTTGGTGTTCTGCAGCCAATTTCGTATTTTCTGAAGTGTGGGGACTGTTGTTTTGCAGGAAGTGCACAGAGAGCTCACACAAACAGTAACGTGACTTGAGACCAGATTGGAGCACCTACTCTCAATGTCAAATAGCCGCCCACACTGCTCCCCACTAAACACACACAGAGTGGGCCATGACGTTGCTGCATTCACCCGAGCAGACTACACTCTTCATTAGGAAGGAAGGAAGAAATTGTGGGGCGGCAAGCTCAGAGAGCTTGGGGGACGCAAAAGGAGAACTCTCCCTTGCCGACTCTCCACTGCCTGGGCACTGCGAGGGAGGACAGCATGCCAGGGACTGTGCCAGTGCTGGCCATGAATAGTCATTTGTCTGTCGATTCTCAACCGGTCAGGGTTTTCTTGGTTACAACTAGGCTCCGAAACACATTGTGCAGGCTGGAAAGCAACTTTAAACAGAAGACACAGAGATGAGATTCCTGGCAGCCACCATTCCGTCACTTTGCTGGGAAATGGCAGACCAGATCATCTTTCTTTCTAGCCGCTTTGATAGATAATCAGGGGAGAGCTTCTTTTTCTTAGAGGGATCTCTTACACCCACCTGAGAGAGCAGACACAAGAGAGATAGAGCATGTTGAGCCGAAGGTTTCCATGCTGTATACCTCTGCGACTCTGTGTTAGGTTCAACTTCTCATCCCAACAGATGGCATCTCCGACAGTGCAGCTTTCCTTAAGTACCGCTACTGCATTGGGAGCACCAGCTTAGAATTTGTTCACAAGTTTCTCAGAAGGGATTTAACCTCACGACCCGCTGTTGGTTATAGCTCAGTTGGCTGGATGGCTGGTTTGTGATCACAGTGACACCAGCAGAGGTTACCATGAAGGGACTTTCTTCTCAACCTCACCCCTCACCTGAAACATGCTGACTCTCAGGTTAAACCATCACTAGTCTTCTCTGTCAGTCTCTTTCTCTCTCTCTCTCTAATGAAAGAGCAATCCTATGGTCTGGTAAGACTATGACAATTTTACTTTTACCTTCAGTGCGCAGAAAGATTTAAATGCATCTAAGATCCCAGGATGGGGGAGTGGACACAGTACAAACTGAGGTAGTAGGAACTGCAGATGCTGGAGAATCTGAGATAACAAGGTGTAGA